CACTTAATTTACCATTTTCCAAAAATTAAGCTCAAGAGCTGTTAACCGTGTACAAATTAGATTTTAGTGGTAACAATGATACGAATTATTTTATGATTTATACATCATGCAGAAAAGGCACAGTGATTAGCAACTGAATTAGTTACATAAAACTTAGGCAAGCTTAGAAAAAAGATGAAGATTGCATTTAGCATGTTTAGATAAACAAACTTTGCATTTTGCGCATTCAAATCTGAAATGATTTGAAGTAAATTGTACTTACATTTCTGTATATGTGAAACGTCTGGACACAGCTCTAAAATTCCACATTAAAGAACACACATTTCAAAGCTTTCTTTTTAATATAACACCTTCAATGTTCTTCTGTTGGAAACTTCCGTGATTATAATGTTGGACGTGCTAAAAAGATGCAGATTTGACCATCCCGTCCTATCAGATATCACGATTACCATAGAAACTGGCCAGTCTCACGCTGTGAAAAACCCTGTCCTAATTGCTTGGTCAGAAAGTGTGCTCTTATCTTGAAATATGTTCCCTAAATCCAACACTTTAGAAAAATTATGTAATGGAAGTCTTTATAGTGTGTTCGTCTTATATTTTCATTTTATTATTTATATGCAATTTAATTTAGATTTATGCTTAATAGAATACATTTTTATGTGATTCTCAAAAACATTTAATTTATTGTAATGTTTAAAGATTTAAACATATTTTACGTTGAAATACTTGATATATCACCATGCATATTTATTAAGAACACACGGTATGTGTAACATTAAATACATATCATTAACTATTTTTAAAACTTTTTCTTTCACACACACACTCTCTCTCTCTTTGTCCGATTTTATAATGAACACTTCACCCTGTTCCCTGAATTCTGACTTCACCCCAATGTTGGTTCAACGTTGTCTACCCAACAAAATGTATCAAAATAAGGACGTTATTCACAATGTTTGCCCAATGTTGGGCCAACGTTGTACTCCCAACAAACTCCGTCAACTTAGTGGTGACAAGCTAACAACAGTGGCCCAACGTTGGGCCAACGTTGTGTCCTTAACCAACCTCGGCTTCTGAGTAAAATACTTAAATAGTGTTATGTCGACATTGGCCCAACGTCGGGCCAACGTTGTACACCCAACGCCAACCATCGGCCAACGGTTTAACCATTAGCCAACGTTGGGCCAACGTAGTCATGCTATCTGGGTATGTCAAAAAGACAGCAATAGGAAAATGCTTGCATATTCCTATATGAAAAGTACATGCATATTCACAGTAGATGAAATGGAACAAAAATTCAAACTTTCTATAATACTTGTATATATCAAAGACTTTAGTTAGTGAAAGTACAAATAATTTCTATTCTCCAACAGGAAAAAAGTACTTTATAAATTGTAGATGAGGGTTTTTCATCCATTTTAAAATAAAATCTTGGGTATGCATAGCATACCAAAACAACAATTAGTATTTCTTGTATACTGTGTAGTTGTCTTTATCCTTTTTTCTAAGCATTTGTAATGTTAGAAACAAAATTTCCATGAATTTCTACTACAATATTTTAAGCCAGGAGGGCATCCTCGTAAGCATCAACTGTTAAGCAAGACTTTGTGATATCATTTTCTTTCAAAAGTGAGGGTGGGACTGAAAATTTTTTTGTTGACCCCTCTACACAGACATCACACTTCAAAGTCTTTTTTAGATTTATTGTTTTTTGTCGCATACTATACTTGTTGCATTTGAATGTTGGCAGATCTTCGTTAACATCTATTGTAGCATTACAAAGTGGGCAACTGTTATGATCTTCACTCGAGACAGAGGTAACTTTGAGTTTTTCTTTCTTTTCGTCAAGATTCATCTTGTCTATATTTGCCACAGGTCCGAGGTCTACAGTTGGTATTATATTTGTGTCAATTGAGGTCGTGACAAACTTGACATCGTCACATATTCGCACTGTTATGTTTGTGAAAGCATACGTTTTTCCTAGTTCTATTTGTTGGCTATGGTCCTCCCAGGCCGATAACTTTATGGAATCCGTCTTGTCAGCAATAATACAATCCTTCTTTTTAAGAATTTTGTTTGTGGTTTCAATGATGATCTCTTCACCCACATTTATTACTTTGGCTATTAGGGATGTCTGAAATTAGATATGAAGTTCGATACACAGATCTTGCAATACAATATATATATATATATATATATATATATATATATATATATATATATATATATATATATAATCCGGACTTCTTGGTTAGGGAACCCAGTTAAGCATTTATATATCGGTCTGGGACCCCGATGGATTAAGCAGACTTTTTCCGGTCTCCCTAATATTTTAACTGATCATTAAGGCAGTGTACTTTGTGGTAAGATGACTGATGTCCTGAAATAAGACTCTTTCGTAGTTATTTTTTCAATGCAATTATAATTTCTGCATTTTTTATTCGCATAGCGAGAAATAATTAAATTATTTATAACCCGGCATATATTTTCATAGGAATATATATATCGATTAAGTCGCCCAGAGAAAATGTGTAATATTAATCAAAATCCGCTATGTATGAATAGTTTTAATTAATATCCCATTTAGTTTAATCATTTCCTATATTTTCTTACCCTTCATTCATTCGTGAGTTCAGTATTTAAAATTTCGAAAATTCATGGTCTACAAATGACTCATGTTTGTCTGGCAATAAGTTGCCTGGTTTCCGGTCGATCTGGAGAACCAGAAAAGAAGACGATGGCAGACGCCTCGAAGTGCTTTGGATCCTTTTTCGTAAGTATAAATCTGTTACGTACTATCATTTGCAGCTGTTTTTTTTTTATGTTTTATACGTCTTTTGTATATTATTTTCCCCCTTTTTATACGACGCGCTTGCATAGCGTCAATATTGACTAACAGCGAACGTCGAGGAAATTTTGAATACACATTTTTAATTTCTTTTCATTCATAATGATACATCTTTTTAAAAATCATCAAATATTTATTTTAATTAATTATTAAGTTTGTGGATGCTCATGGTTTGACGTTCGAAACATGGATATGATTGACGCATTATTTAAAGAAGCTGATAGTAAGCGCGGGGGGGGGGGGGGGTCTTCTGTACGAGAATCTGAAATTTGTGTTTTGAGATACAATAACAAACGATTCTACAAAAATTAATGCAACACAAACCACTTCCTTCCTTTTATGACACTCTTTAGTTTTTGAACAATGAGTAAAATTTGGTTTAAGATTTGAACAAGACTTACAATGTCATATATTGTCAAAGACTACTTCTACAATTACATGTTCAAGAATTTAAGGTATTGCAGAGGTTTTTACTCTATTCTGCAGTTTTCAATGATGTAAACAGTTTCTGTCTATAATTTTAGATATTATAAGTAAAGATATGTTATTTTGTAGTAACAATAATGTGGCTATTAATTCATGTAATTTTCTAAGGTACTACATTTGATAATTTTTAGGTATAAATATTTTTTTTTAATATTATGTCATAATCTGTTTTATCAGCATATATCATAATTATATAAATAACAACTCAAATATGAATCTGAGTCTTCAAGGTCTTTAAGTGTATAATTCCTTTTCACTGCCTATAAAGCATTAAAATAAAATTTGTTATGTTCCCTAGAAACATAATTTTAGGAGGTAAATCTATTATTCGTATTTTAAATTTAAAATCCTGGATGAATATGAAATTTCTATTACCGTAAAAAACTGTTCTTAAAACAGTTTCTATATACCCCTTCCCCCTCATGTGTGCCAAAATTTAGTAAAGGTGAAATAATCATTTTTTTTTTTTGGTTAGATATTGCTTTTATTATACATAAAATATACATAACACAACTCACAAAACTGATTTAAAAAGGACCCAAATCCTGGGAGCTTAAAGGGGCTTTTGTCCTTTACCCACTGGGGCCACAAGGTGGCCCTCACTGGCTCAGACCCCATTATTAGCCTGTTGAACCCCCCTTTAAAAAATCCTGGGTCTACCAAAGATAATTTTGAAGTCTTTATATGAAATGATAAAATGCATTTATTAGCAAAAGAAAAAGGATATAAAACGGGGGTAGTGTACCACAACTACCCAATTAAAAAAAAAAATCAATAAAATTCTAAATAGAAGATTTAAATGTAAAAAAGCTTCAAGATAAGTATACATACATATTTTTGTTGTATGATACATGTACTTACATGTATGGTAACTCTGCTAATTGGTGTATTAAAAAAATTGGGTTTACTTGTACTTACTTCTTACTTATATGCCTCTTTGAGGCACACTGTACCAATTAGTGTGTTATGACGTACTTTTATTAGTATTTTTAATTACTACTTACTTATCACAGGCACTTGTTTCAGTAATAAATTTTTTAACCCATAGTATAGTAATAACGCAATATTGCCACCCACAAGATTTTTCCAGGACTCAATCCTGTGCAATCCTTAAATTAAAATCATTAATAAATGAATATACATTTTGGTGGGTTCTGGTGCATCCTTGAAGTCATTTTTCACATATAAAATAAAGAAAGTCTAGCAGTGTTACTTTAAACAAATGAATTATGATCTACTTTGTTTCAAAAATGATATTTTTGAGTGTTTCTTCAGGGGAGGGGGGGGGGGGCTTGTGTCCAACATTCCCCACCATTACCACTTCTCTGTTCCTACGGCCCTCTATTCTACTGTACTGCTACCCTAAGAGGGGATAATAGTCTGCTCTTGGGATAGTCAGGTTGAACTGAATTCCAGCAACACAAAGTAAAACAAAGATAAATATATTTGATGTGAAATTTTATTTACAAGGAATAAATGAGAATAAATGAGAAACATGTACTTCCAGTTGTACTCAAAATAATGGGAAAAATGTGATTTATATGATTAATGAAAATTTGAAGGAGCTTAAAATTTTATTAAAAATTACTTAGAAGATATGGATTTTAGAGAAATTCCGTTGAATTTAGATCGGGTTCGAAATTCTTAATGTTCTCAATATGGCGCCTAAGTAAATGCAAAGATTTGGAGAGAACCAAAAAAAAAAGGTAAGTTATTAGGAATTCATTGCTCTCATAATTTGTACCGAAGTCAATATGGAGTGGTAAGAAACGGGAAGATGGGCTAAGTTGCCAAGAACAGTGGACGTAAGAACTCACACAGCAGGGGTGTGCAATTACAAAAAATTAGTTACTAGCCCGTCGGGCTAGTCAGCTAGTGGCAGTAACAAAGTTACTAGCCCGAGGTTGCCAGTCACTAGCCCATTAACTACCGAAAACAATACATGTATAGGTATAACAAAAAGGTTTAAAAAAAAAAACATTTAAAGCGACAGTACGGCTGCAAAACGTGTGCTTTTTTATTCAAATTTACCCAATATATCATTAAGAAATGAGGTATAAAGTTGATGTAAGCAGTTTGAGAAACAGAAATATTCTCTCTTCATACAAAATTAACCTAATTAGAATCTGCCGGAAATCAAAGGGTCGTACGAACTGGAGCAATTTAGATCTCTTTATTTGTACCACGTGAATTCTAAAATAGCACGTGTCTACACTGTAGAGTTTACAATAATAGTGAATATGAGGTAAAAGCAATTGTCAAAAGCAGATTATCATAACTTTCTGATAAAATAATCTAAAATAATAATCGTAAAGATTTTAGTCTGTTTTCAGGCAATTTAACAGAATTGAAAGTACAATTGTTGACGTTTTGTGTATTGGGGTCCGAGAAAGGAAAAACCACCAAATCATACATTATCGCGGCAAATGTCAAACAAAATATTTTTCCGCACAGTTAAAAAAATTAGCACTTCAAACGGCAACAATGTTTATAAGTCATAGGTGTATTTTTATGTTGAGTTTACACTAATTTTATTTTCTTTGAAAGCGATGGAAAAATGAGAAATGATAACAAGTATCAACAAACCTGTCAAATAGAACCTTCACGAGCCCTGAGCTGCGTGAGTGTCGCCGAGTTCCTGTTTCTTCCTTATCCAACAATTAATATAAATCCCCAAACTAAATTTTAGTCAGGAAAGTTGCTTTTTCAAGCTCTATTTTCAGTTTCTTTTTGGTCGACTTTGTCAATGTAGCAGGCTCTACCGGGCTTCCTTCTCTTACCATCTAACCATGCTGTTTTGTTTATGAAAACTACGCATGCGTGTATAGCATGGAATGTGGAACCCCGAACACGTTGCGATGTATATATTTACATCCCATAAATAACTTTTAATTTTAATGAAATAATCAAAATTATTTAATTGTGAAAGTTGTAATTTTCTGAAAGTTTATACATTTATGAGTAGTAAAAAAATTCCAAATCTTGTCGGAAAGTTTTATCAAGTCAGTTTTTTGATGAGATGCGCCGTACTGCCACTTTAAGTTGAAATAAATAAAACAAATAATGGTTTGCGCTTTTTTCTCCCTATTTTTATCAACTATGATAATCAGGGACTTATATACTAGGTCCCTGCTATAATTATTATGTCACTGAAACGACTGGCGATAGCAACACACAAAACATATAGGTTAAAATGAATTAAAGATTATGATTTTACAACAAGGTTAATTCGTACATCAATTTAGTTGCCGTAAATATATGTATACTTTCGTTTTAGATTTACCAGTGTTTACTAGCCCAACGGGCTAGCGCAGTATAGATTTATGATAGCCCGATCTCTAAAATTGGTAGCCCCGGGCGTCGGGCGATGGTAATTGCACACCCCTGCACACAAGACAATTGAAACAAACAAGTATGATTAGAATAATGTCCGTCGAACTCAGTAACATGTATACATGTAACAGGAATGATGCTAAAAAAAATTTAAAAGGCATGCTCCATAAACTGATTAACTGAATGTAAAATAAATCAATTAATACCTTGCAAATGAAGAAAAACTCGAATTCATTTAGAAAAAAAAGTGTTAAATATGATATTTTCTCTAATCTGCTAAGAGGGACCTATATACTAACAATATATAGGTCCCTGCTGCTAATTACAACCAAATTTTGCTATTTTTTCCAAATAGAAAAGCCCAGGCTCTTGATTTAAAGACCTAGAAAAACCCCTGTTTGTTAGCAGTACATGTATCACCATTGGGTGAGCACAGATGGTGGAATATTGGATACATATTCAGTTTTAACTTTAACCCCTTTGAAATATGTTTTGGGATGTGTAAAAATGCTGTGTTCTGATTGGGCAGAAAAATATTTACGTGTATATGATGTATACTTATGGCAACTTTCAGTTATCGTTCTTGACTTCCATTTTTGGAAATCGTCCAGACCTGATAATGTGCCAAATAAATAATAAATATGTCGTCAGTAGTCAAGTAAAGAGGTGATATTTCTTTTTTATTAGCTAAATTATGTAACAATGTCATTAATTTGAAATCAATTTCACAGGTATCATATGCAATGAAGCGTAACTAACTAATCCCATCGTCTTTCTGCATGAGATAATCATGCCACATTGTGTACACAAACTGTAATTAGTATTTTTACCTGGAATCCAATTTCAGTGTGTTAAAAACTGCAGGTTTTAACTTTTTCTGTAATGATAACCTACTACATTAGAAAATGTTCGGTAATACATTACAGCCATAAAAAGTGCTTACCACATGTTTATAGCTATGTATTGGTATGCAGGTGTATGTTCATGACCATCGGAAAGAATTTTTATTTTTCTCACTCTTGAAATTTTTTGGATTTTTCTTTGAGGCATGGTGATGAAAGTAATGGTAAAACAACCAGTTCTGGAAAAGAAATTAGCAGTATTATAACAGCTGGCTTTGCATATAACATTTAGAATTAAGGAACCCAAGGGGGGGTAGGGGGGGGGGAGTAGGATAGTTATTCAATTCGTTTCGCCAAGCTGTCGGGGAACCACACCTGGATGCCTTAGGGCTCTCGATTGTCTATAATTAGGGCCATTCAAGGGCTCCATTCCTAATTCAAATGAGGTACCTTTCTTCCCAATTGAATGTGTTAATTTTCCCAATAGTCATTTATCCCCAAAATTAATGAAAGTATGGTTGGATCTGTACATGTAATAACTAAACTTGCTATTCATATTCCTCTGTATTACAAAACAAAAATTTAGTTCATAACAAAGACCAGAAACCCAGTACAGTGGACTCCGGATATAACGAGATGCACGGGACTTATTCAGGACCCTACTTTCGTTTTGTGTACATGACTTGCATTTCGAATTTATACTTTTCTCTTTGTTGCCAGCTTACAATGACAGATTATGGTCCAATATTCATTATAACATGTGAAATTAATTAACACACACAATAATATTGAAATTGTCTAATTAAAAATTATTTATTTAAAAAAAAAATTGTTAAAGTACAAACCAGCAGAGCTACAGTCTCATCAGAGACTTCTGGTTTTGACACAAGGCATCAACATATTGACTTCATTTTCATACCATGATGTCATAAACATGCAGCAAAATGTGAAGATTTAAAGAGGCTGGGGGGTTGTGGCCATTTTTAAACTATATTGATCTCCATTAGAAGAGCTCCATATGAAGATATAGAAAATGATCAAATTTTAAAACTAAAATTTTTGAAATTTTTCTTTGCCAAATGATAGTTCACAGCTTAAGATACCATATGTAAAAAATTAAGTTAAATCTGGTGGTTAATTTGTGGTTAATTTCAGGGTTCGAAATTCACCATATACAACTCGCAAAACGCCAGTTAGAATTCCCCAATTGCGAGTTAAAAATTAAGTAACTCACAAAAACTTGCGAGTTGATTTTTTTTGCATTGAAACTGTAGCAAAATTATATAATATGACAGAACACAATGCCTTTGATTTAAATCAGTAATTTAAATAAAAGTCACACTGTAGTTGTGTTTTGTGTATTGTACAGTAGTTACTTTTTCCTTAAGTTACATGTATTTAATTTATATGAATTTAACTTTATACGAAAATTGCGAGTAGTCTTATAAAATTGTGAGTTCACTTTCTTGGTACTCGCAATTATTTGCGAGTTGTAGTTTTAAGGAGTTTCTAACCCTGTAATTTGTTGACCCCCCAGCCTCCTTAAATGTAATATGTATGCCAAATTCTATTATGATCTGAATTGTGGTTATGTTACTCCTTGTATTAGACACAAAATCCTTTAACAAATATGACTGACCTCATTGCAAAAATGGTGAGAAAAAAGGGAAAATTAAATGAATTTTGAACGAAACAAAGAAGAAAGCAAAATGGTAGTTAATTAACAGGGAAATTCCAATCTTTCAGGTGATGAAAAGGTGACTACAAAGATATTTTTACTTATATAACTAAGCAATACGTTTGATCTCTTGAACTCTCAGTCTCTTGATTCAGAAATCCATGATCCCTCCAAGTCAAAATGCAGTCTTGATATGCATAATCTGTTGTTATTTACTCTCAATACCTCGAAGTGTCTATGTTTTAATGTTTACATGTTTTCAAAAACCCCAGTCACATTTCCAAGAAAGACCAACGGGTGACAGTTTTTGAGGCAAAATACCTTCTTCAGGCAACAGTCAGCTGTTCATCTGCCATTGTCTTGCCCGAATTTGACCTCTTTTTTTGTCAGCCTACCAATTTTGTGTCTGTTGGGCCATGTTATAATTTTCTCTGCATTGGTGGTCGATTCCTTCAATTGAAGCAGTCGTACAATAGTCTGTCGACCAACCTTCAATCATCATCCGAACATTGGTAGACAGTTCTTAAAGTCGGTCATCGATGGGTCAACATTATTGGAATTGGGTTTTTGTAAATGTTGGCTGATGGTGAAAATCAAACTGTGGCTTAGTGAACGATGATTGGGCGACTATTGGCCAACTTAGAATTATCTAAATTTTGAAAATTACCAGTGTTCTTAGGAATTAATGTGACTGCTCCACGTCGCTCGATACTACTGTCGGCTGATCATGTTTTTAAGCTGACGATACGACAAAAATTTGATTTGCCCGACCATCAGCTTAAATGTGACCTAGGCATAACTCTGCACAATTTACTGAACACAAACCCACAACACATGATTGCAGTCCTGCATACTTTGAGGTATTGAGAGATACCTATACTAAATGTAGAACTCTTCAGTGAGCAGTGTTTAAAGCTTCCTTTAATTCAAACAAAGGTGTGATGGGGGGGGGGGGGGGGGGGGCTTGTGATTAATTCCAGATAGGTGAACTTGTTACGTGTCTTTGAGATCAAAGACTGTTGAAGGAGTGAACAAAATAGTAGTTTAGACTATATGAATCAGCCTTGATAGTTCAATGGTTAGAACATTTGACTAGTGAAACAGGTGTCAGGGTTCGACACTAACTTTCTAAGGCTTTAGTCCAGCCGGACTAGTGCTTCATTACTTTTACTAGTCCGCACGCGATTTTATTAGTCTGTCAAAAAAGAAAAAGAAAAAAAAAGAAACATCAATGTTTTTTAACATTAATTTAACGTGACAATTAATATACGTATTATTTTTTGAAATAAACAAAGTATTTACGTGAAATATATTATTCCATAGATTCATTGAAATCTCGCAATCAGCAAATATACGATCGTATTCCCGATCTCGTTTTTTTTTTTTTTTTTTTATTTGTCTTTCCACTACGTCCAAAACGTCCAACATCTTTCTTAAAAGTGTCATACTAAATCATGATCGCTAAAACCTTATACTTCATATCGATCAGTTGAAAAATTAAGCGCTGAATTGACCCAGCATTGCGTAACTACCCGCCAACACTAGAAATCTAAAAATACACGAGGGGTTTTCCAGTAAAAGTTGTCGAGAATCGGGCATCGGTAATTTATTGATATTGTTTTTCAGAAATTTTTATTGGTCCGTTCGGACTAATTAGCTACATATTTTATTAGTCCGAATGAAAATGTATTAGTCTGAGACTAACGGACTAAGGTTAGTGTCGAACCCTGGGTGTCCTTAGTTCGATTCCAACCTTTTATTTTCTTTATACATTCCTTTTCTACTACAGTAGGTTACAGATTAAAAAAAAATGTATATTTATATTTTAAAAATGTGTTTGTTATGACTTATTTACATGTTAAGGAAAACATTTAGATTTTAGAGTGATTAATAATCTGTTAAGAGAGGTACTTTTGAGTTTGATTAAAATACCTGTAATTATGAAGCTTTTATTTCCCTACAGATGTCAACAATGAAAATGAAACAAACCAATCAGTGGATCGAATTAAAAGTTTTGGTAAAAGAAAACAGTTGCATATACATGCTAACAAGAAAGGACTTACATGAAGAAGTGTTGTACAACTATGAGAATGGAAGGAGGATTTGGTGTTTAATTGAGGTAATTTAAAGTGTTGATTCCTAGGGCTGTTTGTTTGATGAAATTTAACCATTAGAATATTTAGTTTTGAAGAAATTTAAAATAAAATTATGCATGCAATTCCATTCAGGTGAGTTTTGTGACCAAAAGTCATCTTTTTCCTGATATTTTATCACAAAATTTTGTAAGAATTACAGTAAAACATGCTTATAACAAAGTGCCAGGGATGGAAAATTTTGCTTCATTATAAGTGTAATTCGTTTATATATCCATTAAGTTTACAATATATTTTAAAGTCACAGGGAATAAAAATCACTTTGCTCTAAGAGTCAATTCATTATAAGTGTGTTAGCTATAAGCGTGTTTTACTGCATGTAGAAAGAATGATATATAATTTCAGAATCTGGTCACCTTAAAGATTTTTAGTTACACTGTAAAGAAATATATTCTAAAGGTGAAGGTAAAGTTGTTAATTATGTAACGCTGTACACATATCCACTTTGAGGTATCAATGGTAAAATACAATAGATTATGCACAGCGGGTCTGCATTTTAACTTTGAGGGTTTTGAGAGATTGAGAGTTAAGAGATCAAGAGAAAATTTGCTAAGTTATATAGGGAAAAAATCTGTGGATCTTTTCACAAAAAATCTTACAACATATTTTTATCTTAACAGTCAGGGGTGAGACTGAAATCCATCATTTTTAAAATGACGATTGTTAGTCATAAAATAAAATTTTTATTATGACTTAAACTCGTCATTTTTAAGAAAATGACGAAAAAGAGTCATAAAAATTTAGAGTGTTTCTAGAATACCGAGTTACCTCTCTTTGAAAAGTTTTGGATCCACCAACCGAAAAAAGGACAAAAAACATCGTAAACAAACTTCATTTCTCTAATACAGTTGACTACAATACTGGTTATGTTGACAGTACAAATTTCCCAAGCAAAAATAAGAGTGGAAGAGTTATTTGTCAATTTATTTGCATTAAATAGGAAAGAAGACGAAAATGACGATATTCCGTCTTTTTTCAAAATGGAGGGTCTGGGCGCACTGAAATATCTCGCTTGTTTTACGGGGCGCACTACTTTTTTATGGCTTTAACTTTTTGTCAAGACTTTTCTCTACAAGTACGTATTCTTCCAGACGGTGTAGTATATGTTTTTATAAGGCTAAAAGCCATGTTAAAATGGCGAATTAGTTCTACCAAAATTCGACATTTTACCGCTAAATAATAACTTTCACCTTCCATGTTGATGTTCTAACGCACGTGGTCGGCAGTAATTAGTGACCCGGATGAAATGAAACTTGCGTAAACACTCTTCTTTCAGCAGTGAATTCAAATTTCGCTTTTATGTAACCAGGATAGAAGAATTACGTTGAAAAAGAAAATATGACGATAGTAAGTGATATTGACAAAAATGACGAAAATACGTAGTTAGTAAATATGACGATTATCCATCATTTTTCAGAAATGACGGATTTCAGTCTCACCCCTGACTGCTTAAGTGAAAACTTTATCATAAATCGTTTTTACAAAAATTCTTAAGAAAGTCGTAAGTGCAAAATCTGTCATAACTTTACGAGAGCTCCAACCCTCTCTTAAGTATTTTAAAAATGATTTTATTGTAAAAATATAACCGCAAAAACCAAAATACACGTTAAATTGAACTTTGTAAAGCAACTTACAATAATATTTTATATTTTTTTTCACAATCATTGTCAAAAATTTAAGTGAATTACACTACAAAATATTTACGATGTAAGTTTCACTTATGACCTTCTTTTACGTCAGACTTTTGATTGTGACATAGATTTTAAACTTCCTTGCTTCACAAACGATTGCATTCGATATTTGTTGTCAATAATGTTTGTTATGCTGACAAATGTTAAAAACTAAGTTTTATTTTTATTTTCACCCACTTATTTAAGGATTATAAAGCATATTGAAGTCGTTGCTAGGGATGAAGTCTGTCGTAAATAAAATCTTAACTTCAATCTGCTATGAATGTGTTCTTGTCGTAAGAAATTCTTAAGTTAAAATCTTACGCAAAAACTTAAGTTTTTTTGTGAAAAGGGCTACTAGACCCAAGGGTAATATTTCAAGCAATCAAGAACATCGAAAGATCGAAGTTTGAGCCATTTGGAGTTGCCTGTAGTAAGGAAATGTGTTGCTTAACTTTATAATATCTGAGAATTTTCATACCTGTAATGACATAATCCCCCTGTTATTCTGGCATTTCCCCCTCAGCCCCCTTTAGCATAGCTAGAGGAATCCAAGACACCCTTCTACTTTTAAAATGTCCCATTTCTATTTCATTTCTTATGGATAACCCTGAATACCTGGTCACCTCAATAATTATTTTAAATTTCAAGGATCATACATATATCTCTGGTCCCCTTAAGGTAGTATGGGATACCTCTACGTTATGACGTATTTCCGTTTGAAGTATTGTTTTGATTTGCATGAGTGCTTATTATCGGGTCAAAATTTGTAGATACACCGTTGAAAAGAACACTCTGAAGCCTATTTCAATGCAAGTTGTCACAAGTCGGCATTTTAAGTAAAAACAGACAAAAAAATCGCAAGTATATAAATTTACTTATAATTGTACAACGGACATTTAAAAAAGCAACCCCCCGTAAAAGGTAGTTTCAACATTGCTGCTTTTGAACACTTTTAAGCAAAAGCTGTATTTCAATTGTTTGAGTAACTGTACAGCACCTTGTGTGCGGTGAGGCATGGATAAGTGCGATTACTTCACATTGTGCTGAATTATCACCAATCAATTATCACGTTAACCAGAGCTGGACTTTTTTGTTATTTAATTCAAGAAGTAACTGTTTGGTCACAAATCAGCTAGCTGTTGTATATAGTCCCAAAACGTTCAGATGAATGCAATTGCTCTGAACAAGACACGTCCTGGAAAGCGATTGTCCATGCATTGTTTTCAAAACCGCTCAAAGTTGAAAACTACAAAGTGCGATTTTTTTATGGTTGGGAAAAAATGCTCATCATTTCTAAAATAGCACCCAGGTTTTTTCAACCCTTGGAAAATAAAGAAGGATAACTCTTCCGCTCGGATCTTTTAATTCAAAAAATTTTAAATGCATTTTATATTTTCCATTTATATATATTTTTTCAATTTGTTTATTTCACTTTGCTAACATATTAAGATACATTCTTATTGTAGACTTTCATGAAATGTTATCCGTCTGTTTTCAAGAAATAAAGTTTTCCCAGTTTTTTTACGCTTATTTTTTGTTGAAAATTAAAAAAATACTAAGACATATTTCTTGTCATTTTTGTTTTTATAAGCACTTTATATTAGCAAACGCCTGCCTATAATATTAAGCTTATGAAAAAAGAATTATGCAAGAAAAAAATCGTTTTTGTATTTCTCATTAAAATAATAAAAAAATTATTAAAATTACACTTTAATATACTGAAAGGTGGGGGTATTTCAAATCCTTCTAATTTGAGTACATAAATATGTAGGAGAAGTTTCGTTTTGTATCCCATACCACCTTAAAGCTGACATGAACTCTTAAATATGCGATATTTTCATCCTGGTACAACTTACTTCATTCTCGTACTCCCTTTTTCCGCCATATTTCTTTCAGATTCGCTCTCTTATTTTACCGGCTATATAAACCCTGATGACCCTGATGGCTTTGTTACACTTGAGTGATTTTCTAGCCTGGCTGTCGACATGTACACATCTCTGATAGCAAAGTCTTGGAACACGCCATGAACTGACATACAAACATGTAGACCTGTAGACATCTCTGATAAAGCAGTTTTGGAACATACCATAAATCTGAAAAACTAGGAATTTTACTGAAAACCATAAAGAAGTATTTAAATTTTGAATAATTTAGATGCAATGCATTAAAATCAAAATAGCATGTGCAAGTTTGATTCACACATATATTTGAACAATAAACAAGAAAAGGCTACCACATGCTACCTCATTTTTCAAATAACACTGTACTATTGAGCATTATGCCTGCTACACGGTATATGCACGTACTATGCAACTTATGCATTCAAGTATAACAAATTCAGATGTACATGCATGCATGCCGAGAAAACGCATCGAATGCTTTAAAATCTACCTGAAATACTGCTATCGGTACAGGGATGTGCACATGTCGAGAGAATAACTTCCTTTTTAATGAAATATGCATCACGGAAGAAATAAATCCATTTGTAACTCAACGGTAAACACATAGTCACTAGCACTTTAACACATGTGGTCCTTGTTGATCAGTATTTTTGGTCAGGGAAAATATCAAAGGTGAAAGTGACACTGGTATTTTGCCTGATTACACAAAATAGTCACGCAAATAAAACGTTTCAGAAATCAAAATAACTGTTTCGATATATGTATTAATAGTTCATGAATGTGGCTTCATTACATCAAATTTAATACATAAGCATACATTCTTGTTACAGATCTTACATCTTTTAAAGAAAATAAAAGGAGGGGGTGGGGGTGGAATATGTATAATACATTCTTCAATATATTTTAAACAAACGTCGGAAAAAAGTCGGATTTTCCTTGATCAAATATATTTAAATACGTACAATGAACTGGCTTCAACTGTTTTAGATATAAAACTAAAACTAATATATCGTAAATTTAAGCAACACTGAACAATTTGTTTCTGTGCATAGATTATTTTCAAATCGGGTCCCTTTCAGGCATCACAAATTACAAGCATGATTGATACAATTACCGACAAGAACAGACATAATTATGTGTATATAAAATAATCTACAGTACATTTTTTGGTTTAAATTGAAGTTGAGTAAGTACATGTATTACACTATTAGTATATATTAGGGATGTCAGAGCCGGAAATAAAAATGTTGCTATCACAAACATGATTATCAAGGATTGTTTACCACTGATTGTTGTAAATGGAGAGGACGTTCAAGAATTGTTTGGTTTTGTAGATTCAAATTATAAAGCTTCAACCTGCAATTCCATAAGATCTGACGTGATGCAACTATT